AATTAGTGGCCAGGGAGGGAGCCTTCCCCAGGGAGGCAGCTTGGTCCTTCTCTGTCGCCTGCTGGCTAGGGAATTTACCTGCTGTTTGCTCTCTTGATGTTAGGGATGGGTTCAGAGCAGATGGATGGTAGGAGTGGAGCCCTTGTTGCCAGCTGACCACACACATGTCAACCAAGGAGGTGGCTGCATTGGAAGAAGGGAGGGCATTTAAACTGCCACAATCAGGGAGTTTGGAGGACTGGAAAGAGCACACCCTCAGACATGGATGCCCAGGGTGTAAATCCAAGCTCTACTGCTCACCAGTTGTGTAACCCACAGTCTCTGAGTAAAGTGCACACCAGAAGCTGCCCAATGGGGTTACCTTTGGGCAAGAAATCAGACCACATGTGAGCATAACTGGTGCTGGCAGATGAGCAGATGGGCCCAGCTCTCCAGACAGGTGTCTGAACTATACATTAGGAGAGGCAAACCTCTGAGCATCACTGTGCCAGCAGTGTACACGTTTTAGAAAAGCAAGAAAGTGATCAACACAGCCTGTTGCGGGAGGATAAAGGGCTTCTTTCTATTCTAAACCCTGGTCCTTTGGCATGACAGAAATTCCAAATCAAAGTTCTAACCTGGGGGCCACCCACGGAGCCTCATGAGTGCTTGTTTAGGCAAGATCACATGTGGTGGCTAGCAGCAGAGGGGTCGCTCCACACTTGGCTCCCTTTTCCTACTTTCTGGCTCATGTGGGGTGGGCAGAAAGGGGAGAGCGCCCTGTACTTGTGGGCTTGCTTTTGCTTTTTACTGTGCTTTGTGGGCTTGGGTACAGCCCGTGACTACCTTTGGTCATCTGTTCCTCCATCTGTAAGATGGGGATGGGAGTGCCTTCCACAGAATTGCTCTGAAGATTAAATGCAATTCTGCCTTTAAGGAGCCTAGCCCAGCATCTGCATACTCTAAGTGCCCGATACACCCTGGTTGTCCTTGTAATTAGAAATCTAGAGTTATGAATTAATGAAGGGACTCTAAAACATCTTGGAAGTTTGGGTGCATCTTTAACGGGCTAGGATAGGAGGAGAGTCTCACTTCTCAAGAGTCATCTGTTCATACTGGCTCCAAATGGAACATGATTTGTAATCGGCATTGGTAGTTATGTATCAGCCAGAGAGCTGGTTAAGATGTGCGTTCTGATTTAGTAGGCTGAGAGCTGAGATTCTCCATTTCCATCTAGCTCCCAGGTGTTCCCCATGCTGCTGGTCTGAGGACCACACTTGAAGTAGCCAGCAAAGGTGAGAATCAGCCTGATGATTTAGTGATGGGAGCCTGTTGGTGGGAACACTTGGGCCCTTTCATATGGTAAACCGTACAAGGGAAAGAAACATCTCAGGGTCTTGTCAAGAGTACAGGGAAGATTTGGGGGGATCTTTGAAGTGTCTGGGCTATCTCTTTATAACTCAGAAAACAATGAGAGAAAAGGCAGATGGCATCTTTCTGGTGGTTTGTCCTGAACCCTGGGCGGTTGCATGCTCTCCATCTCTTGGGATTGGCCTGGCGGAGAGCCAGCTGAACCAACTTCAGAAGAGAGAGGCTCATCGGCTGGCCGGCAGCAGCAGTCTTGCTGGCAGACAGCCTAGGTAAAGAACAGCACCAGGCTGGGGAGGAAGCCACGGCGTTCTGTAAACACAGAGATACAAGCTCATGCTCCACCGTGCCACCCCGGTGAGCGTGTATGTGTGTACACACACCCCCTCATCTCTTGCTTCATTTCCCATGACAAAGGATTTGGGAAGAACGTTCTCATCTGGCCAGCTGATGAAGAGCTGTACGCAGAGGGTTGTTATCAGTGCTTGATCAGCCATTGATAGAACCCCTGAGTACTTTGGGCTTGGAAGAGAAAAATAAACCAGTGGATCCTTTTTCTGTCTTAGGTTTTGATGGGGACTTCACCCTTCTCAGTCTCAGCTCTAGGCTGGATGAAGCCGCAGTTGGGATTTTAGCCCTCCGGGATCCCTTCCTGGGATAACCTGTGAGCCTTGATCTGTGAATTTGGCACCGTGGCACTTCTGACATGACCAGGGTCCTAGTGCCATTTGGGAGGATGTGATACAGAAGCACCTTGTTTCTTGCAGCCATTTCCCTTCCTCAGTATGGGAATAATTCTCTTCTTTGTGTAATTTTTACCAAATGAATTGCAAGTGGCATTTATTCACTGTGCTAATGTAAATTTGAAATTTGTGGGAATGTTTGGACCAAGCCCTGTCCCACTGGGGTTTTTGAGCGCAGGAGGCATTTTATGTTCCGCAGCTCCTACAACCTGACATGTGGAAAGGCAGTGGATGTTTCGGCAGTTTAGACATGTCAAACTGCTAATTCTTCTCACCTGTGAAAACACAACTGGCATTATCAAGAGCAACCCTTGGCTTGCCCTGGTGGCTCTGAAGCTCAGCGCCAGAAGCCGGGGGGAAATTGATCCCTTAATGTGGCTTTCTTCTCACTGGAGTTTTGTTTTGAGTGTCATCATGCATTTGAGTTAGAGCAGCCGGGAGCCCGCGAGTTGCCCTGGTGTGGTCTGTGTGGTGAAGCGCTTACAAAGATTTCCGAAGGCTGTGGGTTCCAGCCCCACCATTGCCTAAGGATTTTGCAGCTGGGGCCCACTGTGGGGGGGCTGCAGGAGTGGGAGTTGCCAGCAAGCACCTGGAAGCACAGCTTCCTGGGGTGCTACCGAGGGGCCGCAGGGAAGCTTCGAGGCCTGTTCCTCTTATACCCCACTGTGTATAGACTCTCAAGTATAGACTCTCAAGACCTACCTAGAAAAAAACGGTCTAGTGAGGGTGAGTTTCCCTGGCTCACTGTGTCCTCAGAGATCTTCTGTGTTCTGGGTGTTGAGGGATTGGGCTCAGAGGCAGTGGGAATGAAGACAGGACCCACATGCCTTCTCATGAACCTGATACCACGTCTCTAAGCCAGATTAGTATGGCTGTTGGGCCTTTGCTGAGGGTCCCAGACTTTTGTCAGATATATAGATCTCCATTCCTTTCAGCCAAGGTGCTGGGGAGGGAGCAGTGTCATTCTGTGAGTGGGGGTGGGGTGAATGTCATGATTCCCAAGGTGAAGGTGGCTTTCAGGACAAAGTGAGGGGAGCCTGGGCTAGCTTTCCACATCTCTGGGGAGGCTGTCTGGGGTCATTCCAACCTCTGCTAGACTGCTTTTCCACACATACATAGTAGATAATGCATTCTATTCCAAGGCCAGTGGGGAATGGTGTACTTCACAATGTGCCTGGTACCTCTTAGGGTGAATTGCATCTCCTTTCCAGGCCGCTACACATAAGAAGCAGCTCATGTTCTCCTTCAGAAGTGGCTTGGAGTTTTCTACTCTTTGGACACAGGTGTAGATCTTGTTCAGAGTCTCACCTGACAAGGCTTTTTCCAAATGGCATATGGCTCAGCACATGCTGTGCCCTATTGGTGCCATTAGAATTCTTCACTCTAGCTCGGCACTGGACTGCTCTCTGGGAACAGTACATAAACACATGAGGCAGAAGTGTTTCTGTAACACCTGCAGGGGAGCTTATTGCCAGTGTCCCCATGTTCCGTGCCTGCACAGCCCTAAGTGTATCTCTTCCGTCATCTTAGCATTCTCACTCTTTTTTTTCCATGGCAGGGAAGGAGACTGCAGGGGGAGCTCATCTCCGCAGCAGCTTCTGGTTCATGATGAAGAAGGGATGCTGAGCTTCCTTCTTGCCCCTGTTCATATGTGAACTCTACCTCTGGTTTGGCATTGGCATAAAGGATATGATTTATAATTCTACCCTCCTGCTATTTCTTTCCTATTTCCTCTTAAATATAGGTGCTTTGGGTGTGGTAGAGGGCAAGGGGAAGAGGGGACACAGAAGAGAAGTGGCATCTCTAAATTTCCTACTTTTTGTTATTATTATTATTATTATTATTATTATTTGTTGAAGTGTCACACACATCTGGAAAAGGCCCATGTCATATATACAGTTCAATGATTTATCACATTTGGGCTAGCTACTCCTCAGGTTGCAAATAGAACATCACAAGTTCCCCTGGAAGCCCCCCTCCCTAGCTACAACCCCCCTTGCTCCTCCCCAGAGGTAACCTGTAGCATGACCTTTAGCACCAGTTAAATTCCAGCTGCTTTGGACTTCAGATGAATGGAATCAGACAGTGAGTGCCTATTGTGCCTGATGTCTTTTGCTCAGTGCTGTATTTGTGAGATTCATCGTGTGGCAGTAGTTGCGTGCTCATTGATTTTCGTTGCCGTGTAGAATGCTGTTGTATTTCTGTGCCACCATTTACCTGTATCTTCTGGCATGAGTGGACCTCTGAGTCTCCTCTAGTGTTTGGCCATGACATTTGCAGCTGTGAACATTTTTGTCCATGTCTCCTGGTAGACTCATGCATTTCTGTGGGGTGTGTTTCTGGAAATGGGATTGCCAGGCCCTCGGGTAGGCCCATGTTCTGCTTTCTTAAAAACTGCTAATTCTCTAAAGTGGTTGTCATGGTCTGCACTCCCACCAGCAGTATATGAGGGTTCTGGTTCCTCTGTATCCTTGCCAGCACTTGTAACCTTCTAGGAGGCATGGATTTCTCACTTGGACTTCTCTGATAACAAATGTTATTGAGTATCTTGTTATATGTTTATTGGTGGTTTGGTTATCTTCTTTCATCAAGTATCTGGCCTACTATTGTATTGGTTGTCTGTATTTTCCTTATTGATTTATAGGAGTTCTTTATAGGTTTTAGATATGAGCCCTTTGGTTATATGTGTTCCCAGCCAGTCTTAAGCTCTAAAGGTACCAGGAGAAAAATCTAATAGGTTCACTGCAGGGGACCCTTCCCCTTAGGCCCTCTAGCACACTTTAATGCTGGAGGAGGGTTTTTCAGTAAGCGCTCAGGCAACCCACCCATGGCTGGGTGAGGATTTAACCATCAGCCTCCTCTTTCCTGGTGCTGGGTTGTGACAGAATGTCCTTTCTTCTTCACGTGCAGGGTCCTCGTGGGGGCACCAAAGGCAGATTCCAAATACAGCGCTTCAGTGAAGTCCCCTGGGGCTGTGTTTAAGTGCCGTGTCCACACCAACCCTGATCGGAGATGCACCGAATTGGACATGGCTCGAGGTGGGTGGATGTCATTGCCAAGGTGGAAATGGGTTCCGTACCCTCACACTTCTTCTTTGTCTTCTCAGGGTGCCCTGATCATTAATCCCCTCTTCCATCCATCCATCCATCCATCCATCCATCCATCCATCCATCCATCATGTGTTGAGTGCGTATTACTTATTAGGCACTGAGATCTACTAGTGAAACAAAGCAAAGATCTTGCCCTCCTGGGCCATACAGATTAGTGGGCAAAGAGACATTAAAATGAATAGTCGAGTGCAAGAAGACCAGAGGGGAGGTGGGTAGTTGATCTACACATGATTGAAAAGATTCACCGTAGTTAGCTGGGCAGCTGTGGGAGGCAGAAGCTCCAAGCAGAGGAAAGCTTGTGCCATTTTAAAGCACCAAATGAGGACAGTATAGCTGGAGTGGTGAGCGGGAGGATGGGAGCATGGGGGGTTGACAACGCGGGCTGGGGTAAGGTGTTAAGATTTTATGTTCTGCATGAAGCAGGAGGCCATTAAAATCAATCTTGGGCTTTATATTTCAAGTAGGGGAAAGATATGATAGGTGAAGGTCTTACAAAGCTCACTTTGGTCCAGTGGAAAATATATGATCCGTCATCTTTAGAATCAGGTTATATACTCGCCTGGGTTCAGAGCCCAGCTCTGCCAGTTACTAGTTGGGACTTACTGGGACTGAGAAAGTTCCATAGCCTCTTTGGCTTCAGTTTCCTTGCCTGTAAAGTTAGGACTAAGATACCTACCTTACACAATTACCTTAACAAAGTTAAGTGAGGTAAGTGTCACATAGGTCCGTGCTTGGCACGCTGTGGGAGCTGCTTTATTATCCCTTCAGGTCTTCACTTTCTCCAAAGTTCTTTCCCAGCAAGAAATCCTAGCTATATTTTTTTTAAACAAAGAATTGTTAAGATATTCTTTAGCTGAAAAGCAGAGGTGTCCGTGGTGTTCTTTAGTGCCACTCAAAATGACTGGTTTGTGAACTGCTGATTCCTGGTGCATAGCAGAGTAAGGAGCTAGCTTCAGAATGTAAATCACCGCACCACTTCCTTCGTGGAGCAAAAGTCTTGGCGATGAAAAAAATATTGGCTGAATTAAGCAGTCAACAGTGCATCGTGATAGAGTTGATTTACACTTTGTTCCAAGTTCCTCATTTTCTCACTGGCAGGTGACCAGCATTTGGACTGTAGACCACCCTTTGAAAAGCAGCCAGCAGAACATCATTTCTAAAAGGAAGTCTGGCTTTTCTCTTTCTCATCTAGGGAAGAATCGGGGCATGCCATGTGGAAAGACCTGCCGGGAAGACCGGGATGATGAGTGGATGGGGGTGAGCCTGGCCCGGCAGCCCAAGGCTGATGGCCTCGTGCTGGTAAGGCCTCCGGGGGTGCTATGGAGAAGGGGTGGCACTCTGAGGACGAATGACTTTGTGATTCCTTAGGCAGGCTGGATGGCACGGTGACAAGGGTATGGCCTTGAGGTTGCCTGCTCTGGACTACTGCTTGGACAAATGACTAACCATTTTATTTTCTTTATCTGTCAAGTGTTTAACATCCGTTCCAGGGTGCAGAGGTACAGTTGTCAAAACATGACAAAATGTGGGTGAAGAGTGCTTCAGAAATCTTATTCATTACGTAAGCATTTTTGTGAGTGTGTGCTTTTCAAGGTATGCGGTATGTGAAATGCACAGGATTTAAGATTATAGTTTGGCTTTTGACACTGGTACACTCCTGTGTAATCCCCCTGTCTCCATCAAGTTATAGATTATTTCTTCCATCCCCCAAAAGTTCTCTTGTGTTCCTTTCTAGTCCATTCCTCCCACCCTGAGTCAACCACTGTTATCATTAGTACTACCATGGATTACTTTTTATATTTTTAGAACTTCATATAAATGGAAACCTACCATGTGTGTTCTTTTGTGTAAGACTTCTTTCGCTCAAAATACTTTTGAAGTTAACCCATGTTGTGTGTAGTAGTTTATTCCTGCTTATTCCTACATAGTATTATATATTATGAAATCCATGTTATTTTTAGTGCTTTACAGTTGACCTTTGAACAACACGGGTTGCAACTGCACGGGTCCACTTATAGGTGGATTTTTTTTTTACAGCACTGTAAAATGTATTTTCTCTTCTGTAGGATTTTCTTAATATTTTCTTTTCTCTAGCTTACTTTATTGTAATAATATAGTGTCTAGTAAATACAACATACAGAGTATGTGTTAACTGACTCTCCGACCTGCTGGGAAGATCGGCAGGTTCTTGATAAGGTTTCAGGTCAACAGACTATTAAATTTTGGGTGAATCAAAAGCTATATGCAAATTTTCAAATGCATGAGAGACTGCTGCCCCCAAACCACCATGTTGTTCAAGGGTTTACTATATTTAGTTCCCAAAGTGCATATGATATACTCAGCAGGTTCATTGGGTGCTTTGCAGAGGTACAAAGAGAAGTCTTGACCCTTGAGGCTTGTGATGTCCCAGAGCTAGACCATCCAAGGAGGTAGCTGCCAGCCACATGGAGTCAGTATACTTTAAATTTAGCTAAATTAAAAATTCAGGTTTTCAGTCATGCTAGACCCATTTCAAGTGATCAGTAGCAGCACATGGCTACTGGCTACTATGTTGGACAGCACACAGAGAAAACATTTCCATCACTCCAGAAGGTTTTATTAGACTCAACAAAAAAGGAATTTGTAATTACCTCAGAAATTTTGTCTACTTTTTTCTTTTTCTTTTACTCTTTCCTATTACGGTAGAACACTAAAGTACTTAAATAACCTGATGTGAACAGCTTGGTGAATTTTTCTTAACCACACTCCTGCATCCTTGTTGCTAATACCAGAATGTTCCCTTGTGCCCCTCTCCACTGAGATAACCAGTATTCTGACTTCATAGGCCTTTTCTTTTCATTGACTTTTCTCGGAAGCTCTATGAAGATTTTTCTTATAAAAACATAAGATCAAGGAGGGAAAATATTACCAGCTGATTCATTGGAGGCTTCCTTTGGGCTACATGCTGTAAAGTGGAGTGTTTTACATATTTTTATATGTATATTTTGTATATGTATATTTTTTTATTTTATATTTTATCCCAGGGGAAGTAGGTTTTCTGTACAGATCTAGGCAAAATGTTTACTTCCCCTCTTTCAGGAGCCCACTTTTATGTTAAACTTCGCCATAGCAGGGGCTATTCATGTGAATTTGGCCTGCCTTTTCACCACAAATTTATCATCTGCCCCTTGCCAGGCCCCATGGGGAAGGAGGAAGCAGCTGGATGCTATCACCAGTATGGAGGGGCCTCCTTACTGGAACCATTGTATATCTGTTGAGGGCCCCAACCCTGCTGTGTGTCGCCATGTCCAGTGCTTTAATCACTGTTGCGGTCTTCCTGGACCATCTCCAAACTTCTACATTCCTCCAGACACTGAGCCTGACCCTGACTGGACAACTTGGCCCCAGGAGGGCTCAAATGCTTGTGTGCCGTCCTCTGGAAAGGAGGGAAGAAGCTGATCCATCTCTAAATCAGGATGGCCTGAGGTCAAAATTCAGGATAGAGGAAGTGGTAGTCTGGTGGTGGTATAACACACCATGCTTTAGAGTGCTTGGAGCTTAGAGCCAGAGGTTGATCTTGTGAAAACATTTCCTCCTCCCATAGAAGGATAACCTCTGTGTGGCCAAGAACTTACTTCCAGAGGGTTCTGTGTCACTGCAAATCAGTCTGAGGAGGGAGCTGTCTCTGGAGATGTGATCAGCAGTAACGATTACAGGAATGAGTTAGCAAAGGAAACCAAGAAGGCAGAGCCAGTGCTTAGTGGAGATAGTGCTCTGATATGATAATCTACTGTGATAATCCTGCTCTCATTCATTGCATGCAGAGCTATTTTTCTCATGTTTTATACAATTACTGCTTCATCTGTTCGTAAGTCACCCATGGGTGTTAGAGAAGGAGAAGCATCCAACGGCATTTGTTTCCCTCATGTTTTTTTTTTTTTTTTACTGTAGTCAAAGACATAACATAAAATTTACCGTCTTATCCATTTTAATTTTTAATTTTTATTTATTTATTTTTTAAAGATTTTATTTATTTATTCATGAGAGAGAGAGAGAGAGAGACAGAGACACAGGCAGAGGGAGAAGCAGGCTCCTTGCAGGGAGCCTGATGTGGGACTCGATCCCGGGACTCCAGGATCACGCCCTGGGCTGAAGGCAGGCGCTAAACCACTGAGCCATCCAGGGATCCCCTGTCTTAACCATTCTTAAGTGTGCAGTACAGTAGCATTATCTGTGTGTACTTTGTTGGGCTACAGATCTCTGAAGTTTTTCATCTTGTAAAACAAACTCTGTACCATTGAACACTTGCCCCCTTCTTGCTGCCCCCAGCCTCTGACAACCACCATTCCTCTGTTTCTAAGAGTTTGACTGTATTAAATAACTCCCGTAAGTGGAATCATGCAGTATTTATCTTGTGACTGGCTTATTTCACTTGGCAGAATGTCCTCGAGGTTCATACATATTGTAGCATATGACAGTATTTCCTTCTTTTTAAAAATTTATTTATTTATTTTTAAAAGATTTTATTTAGTCATTCATGAGAAACATTTGCACATGTGCCATCTTGCTAGGAAAGGCTTGTCCTGAGTCTTCTCTGTTCCCAGCCCCCTCCATCCTCCCTGGCTGAGACTCATTTTCCTCCTTGAAGCCTGTCATTTGGTGACAGTGCTTTCTGGAATAAGCTTAGCATCTTTGGGCTCATTAGGAACTGAGCATCTTTGGGCTCATTAGGAACTGAGCATTATGTTGTTACCTCTGTATGTATAATTTATCTTGTGTGTATGTCTCCTTTATTATGGAAGCTGCTTGGGGAGAGGCCACATCTTTTACCCTTCTCATGGTCAGTGCTTGGAGATGATCTCTCCAAAGAGTTGAAAAGTGTGTTTGAATAATATAAGGGCTGAGTGTCACTGTTAAAACAACTAGAAAGCAAATGAGTTGCCATCCCTTCTTGGTGGCTGACTGGTAGACAGGCAAAATGCTATAAAATGGCCCTAGAGTGACACCAAGGTACAGGGAATGGTGATGTCATCCATATTTACCTGGAGACCTTTTATCCACTTGCTTTTTCTTTAATGTGTCAAGTCTACCTGTCAAGGCTTTCTGCAAGGCAAGTATTTATTTGAAAATTACACACAGGAAGGTGGGTGTTTTTCAAACACCTTTTGAATGCTCAAGAGGTACCTGGGGTGTGAGTGTAGGACCTGTATCCCTAGGGAACATAATACTGGGTTCCAGGGCAGGTTTGAAGAGGGGGAGGTGGGTGGGTTTTTTAAAAATGGCATCTGGTGCTGATTCAAAGTAAAGAACAGGTGGAGAATTTAAAAGCTGTGACAGGGCGTCAAATGTCTCATTGACAAATGATGTTTTCTCACCCCTGAACCCGGCATCCAGCCCTGGCTTTGCCGGGGTCTTGACTTGCAGGTGTTGTGGTACCTTCCTGTTTTCCCCAGTGAACAAATGATAGCAGGTGCAAACACAGCATCAGGATTTGGGGCAAGTCCCTTTCCTCTCTACGCTGTCTGTCCCCTGGCACCCCCAGTGTGCAGATGACAGAGAAATGGAGAAAAAGAATTCGTTTCCTGCCATCACCACCCAGCCCCCGCCGGCATAGGCATAGACTCTTTTCTTGGACTTCGGAGGGCACCTCCAAATGTTCAAATCTGATGTTTCTGCTTTTCAGTAGTCTCCAAGGCTCAGATGACGAGTAATTGAAGCGTCTAGATTATTTCTGGTGGCAGTGGCATTCTTGGCTGTGTGCTGTGTCCTCTCCAAGTGACAGGGCAGTCCCTTCCTATTCACCATTTCTCACCTGTCTGCTGTTTTCAAAGCTGCAGAGTCCATTTTTTGCATTTACTTCTGTTGCCATGTTTCCTGGTTGTTGGTTAGAGAACTTTTAATGAACTATAACACATGCAAGAAAGGACACACATAATTTGTATTCACTCTGATGAATTGTCATTTGGTCAGCATTCTCAGAATGGACTTTCCCAGCACCCAGGGACCTCTTCCCTGTGCCTCCTAGGCCACTCCATCCTCCCTTGGAGCAGGGCAGGGGGCTTCCTTGTTGGGTAGGGGGAGATCTGTGGCATCATGTCCCTGACCCCCTCCACCCACTGTTCTCGGTGGCCCAGGGCCTGGCCCTGGCTGTGGAGGGTGGACCCGAGGTGTGGTAATAGCTCTGGACATCTGTGTAAGAGGGTGGAGATGGGGGCCTATGTGCCTTTGTGGCTGAGCCATTGGGAGAGGCACCCCCTACACCCCGCCCCACATGTTGCCTGCCCAGGAAGGACGTGCTGTTTCCATACAACAGAAAAGACCTTTGAAATAAAAAATTGCTCATATTCTCCTTTTTATTTTTTGGAATTAAAAAAACAGTCCTTATAACTGGAAAGATGTCAGATTCTAAGATTTGGGGTGATGCTAGATGACCCTCCCCTTTCTTATGATTATTTGGAATCTGAGTTTGGCCAGTCTTGCTATTTTTAGAGAATACTCTTTTTCCTGTTCTTCCCTGCTCTGGCCCCCTTCCTCCCTCACAGCAGAACTCATTTGGAGAGATTGATGAGGTTAGTAATCCTTTGGAGACAGTCCCTAGGAATTTTTTTTAATCCAGGAGTCAGATTGACATGCGTGTGTATACATAATGATAATCAGAGCTAAACAGTCTTTTCTTTCTATAATTTATATTCAGAAATACTCTTCATTGTTTTCCTACATGCATACTGCCTTTGACACTTTGATCTCTGACCTCACAGAATGCCTTAATTTCAGTTTAGTTTACTGTGAAATGTAATATTTGGATTTTCTAGGAATTCTCCAAGATCACTCCTTAAACAGTTTATGGCACTTAAAAAAACAAAATAAAAACAAATGAGGAGACAATAAACTAGACATTAAATGCAGAGTGTCCTTCCTTAGAAGAGTCAGCATGCCCCACGATAAACATCTGCCTCTTTTTATGGTCTCTCCGGCCCAGAAAGACAATAAAATGCAGTAAGCCCTGGAAGCCAGGGGCTTTGCTAAGTCTGTAAGTTAAAATAGAAGTAATTTACCTGCCAATTCAATGGCTTGCAAGGCATCAGAATTGAGTCAGAACTAAACATTTTAAAAATCAACTACTTAGTGGGTTGGAGCGATGATGTGCTTTATGACAGATTGGTATAGCCCCTTGAGAAACATGCTGTGAATGTGAAACTGTATCAAGTGGAGAGAAATGAAAATGGTTTTGCAGTATAACAAGGGATTTATTTTATGTAGTTTAATGTCCTAGGGCAAGAGCCAGTGAGTGTGTGGGCACATTCTTATTTCCAGTAGTTTTGTCCTTGGGCAGAGAGTGCCCTTGTTAGGGGTCCTGTGGGCAGTTGGTTTGAAGGGATGAAGAGCAGAGAGGCTGGCAGACAGTGATTTTCATCGTAGGATGATCTGAGGACCCCAAAGAGGCGCCTCTCTCATTTGGTGACCTGGGGATTTCACTGGGCTCCAGAGTGGTTATTTCAGGGGTGTTGGAGCCTGTGGGTAAGGCTGGTAGCCCAACAGCTACTAGATCTGTCTCAGGTGGTGGGTTTGATGGCTGCTCAGGCAGGAATAGAAAGTTTTAAATGGGAAATGTTTTCTAGTGAGATGAGGAGGACCCTGAAACAGTGGGTTCCAGGCCTGTTTATAATACTTGCTAGCTCTGAGCCCACTTGGGGTTCCCATGTGGAAAATAGGAATTCTGAAGACTCCTTTGTGCACCCTCTAGAGTTGTAGAAGAATATGGGCCATATAAATGCTGAACATTGTGGCTTGTTGTACATTTGAAGGAAAGAAAGCAAGCGGTTAAACACTCTGATTATTTCAAAATGTGGTATTTTAAGAAAACAGATTTGTAGGCCAGAGTGAGGTGAACTAGTAGCAGAAGTGAGTGGGGCACGTCCATGAGAACCGGGCATGCCCTCAGAGTAAGCAGATCGGTGCGTAATCCAAACTTGTGGATATTTGGATGTGGATAGGCCTTCCCACATCAAGTGGGCAGTTATGTCTGAGGGTGAGGCTGGGGGTGTTCTTTGGTGGGTGGGGAAGGGTGCACCCAGCCTCCGTTCCTCCCACTGGCTCCCATTCCAGTGTCTGTTGGAGCCCAGTGCCGGGAAGCTGCTCAGAACGCTGACTAGGGGGTCTGTCCCTAACGGCCTCATCTCACACACGCCAAGCTCTCGCTTGCCTCAGAGCCCTCTGCCCTGAGCCTCCCTCAGGTGCCCTCCCAGGCACTCCCTCACTTTCTCAGGCCTCTGCTCAGATGGCACCTCCTCAGAGTCACCGTTCTTGACCTTCCTATCAAAACCAGCTGATTTCTGGCATGAGGGAACTTTGGGGGTGAGATGGAAACATTTTATATCTTGCTTCGGGCCTGTTCACATAAATGTACACCTTTGTCAAAGTGCATTAAATGGTATACTTGAGACTTTTGCTGTGTGTAAATCTACTTTGAAAATAGAACCATCAACATTTAATTCTGGTTAATGATGTGCACGCTGAAATGTTTCTGTAGGCAACAACAGCCAAGTAAGGGCAATGGTTCAACCTTTGCCCCAAACCAGCTCAAAACAGGAGCTTCCCAAAGTGTGCCCTGGCCCAGCAGCCTCAGGAGGACTAGAGTGTGTCTCTCCCTTCAGACTGACCCAGGGCTCTGGCTGTTCATTGCTGTATCCTCAGGCCCAGCACAGAGCCTGGCACACAGTGGGTACTCAATAACTAGTTGACTAAGTGATCAGATGCACCTGTGAGGCCTGTGTAGCCATCCTGGCCGGAGGGCCTCAAGGTCCATATTGGGGGACCAACATGGGGGTCCTTTTCACTTGGCTTCCTTTTCCTGCCTTCCCTGCTCTCCTAGGTGGTTCCCCAGGGCCCATCCATGCTACTCGCAGCACATACCCTGAAGCTCTCTCTTCTCCTCTGCCCCTCCACCCCCATCCTGGGCCACACCAGTATCTGTTCCCACCTGATGTTCACTTCTGCTCTTGCCCACCTGCAGCCTCCACATGGTGGCTGTTCTCTTTCTGAACCATAAAGCAGATCATGCCACCTACCTGTGTCAGCTTCCCTTGCACATCCACCAAAATAATAGCCCTCAAGGTCTACTAGACCCCCCATGGGCTAGCTCTGTCCCCTTTCTGACCCCTTCCCTCCTGCCAGCGACCCTCCTCTCCCTCCAACCTCCAGGCCTTTCTCACTGCTTCCTCAGTTCCCAGTGACCTCTGTGTCATGCTCAGTGTGGCTGGCTGGCTCTCCTCTCTCCCTGACCTCTGTCCTTCCCACCCACAGAGTCTCCATCCCATAACCCTAGTCTTTCCCTCCCAGGGCTCAGCTCCAGGTATAACCTTATTAGTTTACATGTTTCCTGTCTCTTCCTAGTAGCCTTCCAGGGGCTTGTTCTTGTTTAAAGAGGCTGCTGATGCCCCAGATACTACCCGGTGCCAAGCCATGGCTGGGCAGGAGGGAGGATGGCTTTCTGGCCCCTCTGTTTGTCTCCTCACACAGAAGAACCTGGCACTGCCAGAGCTCTGCTTTGGGACCTTCTGGGGCTGACTTCCCTGCTCTGACCTCATCTCTGTCCTTTAGGCCTGTGCCCACCGCTGGAAGAACATCTACTATGAAACAGACCACATCCTGCCCCATGGCTTCTGTTACATCATCCCGTCCAACCTCCAGGCTAAAGGCAGGACGCTGATCCCTTGCTATGAAGGTGAGCACTGCTGATCCCTGCCCCCTGCCCCTGCCACAGCACCCCCAACAACTCCCATCATCTCCGTTTCCCTCAGCTTTCCAAACTAACTGGGGGGCAGCCCTGGATCCCTGGTTTGTCTCTTGGCACCCATGGGCCTGCCCAGGGAATGGGGATGAGGAGAGGACCATCGTTTCAGACCCTGCCCAGCCCCAGCCCTCCCCATCTCTGTCCAGAGCCCAGAGTGCTTACCGAGCTATATGAAGTCTCAGCAAAATTCACTAAGCCTCAGCCAAGTGATTAAGCAGAACTTGGTTTTCTGGCACTGCCACATGCTCTGTAGCCCTGGGAAACCTACTTTTTCTCTCTGGACTTTGATGTCCTCTCCTGAAGACCCAGAGGTTGGCTCAGATGGTCTCCACAGTCCCAGCTCCCCAGATGGTCCCAAGGCTCCCAAGGCAGCTCTGTGGACAAATGTCCTGAGGCAGCAGGAAAAGGAAACCCAGATTCAGTAATTCCGTGATACCTCAAGGCTGATTTTCCTTCCCATCTGGTCCACATGCTCTCATGTAAGTTTGAAGACCTCTTTGCCAAGGGGCGCTTGGGATCTTGGAAAGAAATGTATTTTCTCAGGATTCCTGCTTAAAACCTCCAAACTGAGCTGATTATTATTATATTTTTTTAATTAATTTTTTTGAGCTGATCATTATTTAGTTTGGTTGAACTTGAGCTTTAAGGATTCAGGAAATTCTCTCCTTTTCATCAGTCTTATAAATTGTACACTCAGGTTTTCTCTGCCTAATTCTGAGTGAGCTAGCACTTGTTCCCTCTGAGAGCTATGCTGTTAGTATTTTAGTTCCCCCTCTAATTTATTTGCTTGGACTGAAGTCTCCACTAGCCTGTGTCCACATTTCCTCTGGGCCTCCCTGGGGTTTCCCAGGTTTCAAATTTTGTGGCCACCAAAGAGGTTTCTGAGAAATGCTGTCTGGACACATGCATTTTTCTGTCCAGTCCCCAGAGGACGGTTCAGGGCCCTGAAAGGGACTTGGGTGTCCTGAGCAGGTGTTCATTGCAATGGCCTCACAGAAGAACTGGCAGGGGCCCAGCAGGAGGCATGAACCCTGTCCTTCCGTGGGGGCGAGGCTTATGCTTTCTTTCTGTGTCAGCATTGGGTGAGCTGTGGTGGGACCATGGGGGAAATGGAACTCTGGCCTTGTTCGTCTCTCTGTTACCCCAGGCAGACAAAAACCTCCATGTGAAAAATGGATGTGATGTAGTCAGTTAACGGAGAGGCACAGATAGTATAAATGCATCCATAAGGGGTCAAGACTGTTCTGACCACCCCAGCTTACTCCTCACTTGCCCTACCCCCACGGAAGAAAAGGGGAAGCCCCTGAAATAAGTCTTCGGGTAGCCTGCTGGCCTGGGGGAGGTGAGGGGATCAATCCAGGGATATTGAATCCAAACTAGTTATGCAATAGCCCAGGAGGTTGGTTTTTTTCCCCAGAAGACGTGTTGTGAAATGGGGACATGTTGCTGTGCCCACTGACTCTTCTGTGCGCCACTGTAAGTGTCACAACGCAAAAGGACAGACCTCTGAAGAGGTTGCTAGAGCCCGTAGCCCCCATGGCTCACACTTGAACCTAATGTGTTGGTAAGTGGCTGTGAGATCAGTGCTGGGCCAGTGTTGGCTTGGGGACTTTACACCATCTGTCATTTAATCTTTATAACTCCCTTCACTTGAGTTTGAATATGGGTAGTTTTGTGGAGGTCATCTCAGAAGACCCCAGTCAGGGCATGGGAAGCGAGAGAGGGAAGGGAAGGCAGCCTATAAGGGATGTTACCTACAGGTTCCTATCCTGGACAGCTGGGCACAGTCTCTGGGGAGCCCTGGGGCCAGCACAGAACACACCTTGGGATTAACCATCTGTGGTGTGTAGGGGCTGGAGTCTTTCCACTGTTCTGTCCTGTGGGGGGGAGGCAGGGAAAGCCCCCCCCCCCCCCCGCCATGGAAAGATGCACATGCTGGCCACCAGGCTGTATCCTGGAAATGGTGATGGTGCTTGGGGCCCCTGATGCTTGGCAGGAAGGTGGAAGCCCGTGTGAGTCGATGAGGGCCATAGCTGGGCCAGATGACAGGTCGATTCAGGTCTGCTCCACATGTCCCTCGTTCACAAGTGCATGTGAACTCTCAGCCTGGGCCTTAAGAGGTGTCATGTATTTCTTCCCCCTCTGGGTGCTTGGGACCCTCACCACGGAACGTGCCCCCTGTGGCTCACTGGTCCCAGAAGAGCTACGTGTGGAACAGACCTGAACTGAACCTGCTGACTGAGTCCAACTAGATCAGCCAAAGCCCAGCTGATCTGTGGGAGGAGGAGTGGGAAATGAATATTTGTTATCTGTCATAGACATTTCATGGTTGTTATGCAGTAATAGCTGACATCGAGCTCATCTCATGATCCCAGATTCCTTACACAACAGTGGATGTACCATCAACCCAGGCTGCCAGGATTGCTCTTTGACTGTTCCTTGACTTAATGATGGCCAGACAGAGCCAGCAAACAAATTAGCAAAATGGCGGTGCCCCTGCCCAATCGTTTTCCTCCATGGGCTCACATGTACTTCTGTATGTTAACTCATTCACTGGGAAAGGGAGTGTTGGAGTATAAGAGCAGCCCCTAGAACAATGTGGCACTGAGGAGAATGTTTCTGTGGTTTTTGTTTCTGTAGGAGGCAAGGGGTGGCAGACACTCAGATTTCTCTAGAAGACTGGCTTGGCAACATGCATGTTGCCGGCCATAGTTAGAGGAGCCTTGCCTGTGCCCTGTTAACTTTGGGGATGTCCACCTCCCAGTTTTGTGGACTACTTTGGGTCTTCAGGCAACTATATTTTCTCTTAATGTGGAAAAACTCGGTGACTCAAACTCTATGTTCCAAGTGAGGGATCACATTACAGCAAGTACAGTACAATAGAAGTACTTCAGAATTCAACAGGACCTTTTGGATATCATCTTAACCAGCCTATCTTTATTGAGGTCTAGGGATGTGGTGTGGCTTTTTCAAGGCCAAGTTTTGTTTCCTTTCTGTTATTCATATGTCATACAATGGAGAGGCAAAGTAGCATGGTAGCTAAGAGCATAGACTCTGGACCCAGCATGCCAGACTTCAAGTCCTCGCTTTCCCCTAAGCTACCTCAGGGGTCTGTGAAAAAGATGGAGTGAGTTAAAACTTGTTAGTTCTTGGAATAGTGCCCAACATGTGCATGTGCGCATGCGTGTGTGTGCACGCGTGGTAAACATGAATGTTCTGATATTCCATATTCTGTGCTAATGTACTGTATGCTAGGCAAATGTCTGTTAATCACTGTGGGGTGACTAATTTGTCTGCTAGGGATAGAGTCCACATAATCTTAAGTGCCTGATAGATAAAACCCAAGTGACACACAGTTCCAGGTGTGAAGAAGTTCTCCATGTACAGGGGAAAACAGGGGAAACATGATCTTTCACAAGTGGGAGAGCTGTGTGGGGAGAGAATTTCATGCCAGTGTGTCCTGCAGGGCACCTCTCCCCAAGGGCCCAACCTACATCCAAGGTCTAAGTGGCATTAAGACAGCTTAATTCATTTTCCAGCTGGAGAAATGGATGCCCACTTAGAGTCTGCAGCCAAGTGGGGCTTCCAGAAGAGAGGAATGGTGGAAATCCATCATTGGTCATGGTGGTGGGTGCTGGGAAGGGAGGGGCCCTGCCTCCTCTGAATGTGCATGCTGTGGAATAGCTGAAGGACCACTGAGGGGTGTGGAAGGTTTGGTTGAGTCCTGCCCTTTTGCCCATCTGTCTCTATGGCCCCAGGCCTGTGGATTACCGTCAAGGGCTCCGGAGAAAATTCAGAAGTGCTCAGAAAAACCATGCATTGTTCTCTCACTGTGGCCTTATTGAGAGTTCTTGGAGGGTCACCTGTGCTCTCTTCAGAATGTTGCCAGGTCTGTTTAATAGACGAAAGCCTCGAAGTCTGTAGGCCCCTGTCCAGACAGTCTCAAACTTTTGAATTCTTAAACCATCAGTCTTTGGCACAAAGACATTTTTTCTCATGACTTTTCAGGTGCTTCCTGTTTCTGGTTGGGTGGGAAATGCTATCAGAATATCCTGTTTGGAACCAGGAAATGTAGAGGGAATGGGAAACAAAAATGAATTTAGAACACAAAGTAAAATAAACCAATGGAGCATACCATTAAGTCAGCCGTTTAGTTTATGTTTGATATGAAAACAGCATCATTACTACCATATGGTGTTTGGTTTTATCTGAGTGTGTGAGAAAACAAGAAATTCAATGGGATGACATGGGGGAAACTATTTGTAAACTGAAGAGCAAGTGCTATGAAACCTGTTGCTATTGACCAAGTCATAGTTTAGGCTCCTCAAAGTGAAGTTCATGCATTGTTAATATCAGGCATGGAGATTTCTCTCATCCTTTGCCCTTGAGCTTACTGAGACAAGAAGCCAGAGCTTGGCAGGAGGGGGGCTGTAAATAAGTCCTATTTATTTATTTATTTATTTATTTATTTATTTATTTATTTATCTATTTATTTATTTATTTTAGAGACATACATGTGAGCGGGGGAAGGGACAGAGGAAGAGAGTCTTCAAGCAGACTCCCTGCTGAACATGGAGCCCCACTCAGGGTTCCATCTCATGACCCATGTGATCATGACCTGAGCCAAAACCAAGAGTTGGACACCCAACCGACTGAGCCATCCAGGCCCCCCTCAAGTCATTTTTTTATTGTGACAAAAGAGCCTCACTAATATGGAAAAATTGGGGAGCAATGCTGATAAAGAAGCACAATTAGAGCACTGTTGTATGTTAGACCCAGTTTCAGAATCTTGCTTTACCACTCACTTGTTACTGTGATTGAACCTACTACATCTGGGTGATTTTGAGTAATCCCTCTGAGACTCAGTTCTTTCATCTATAAAATGGGGGAGATTAGCCCACTGAAGAGGTATTTGAGGTATATAAGGTGCC